GGAGGAGGAGGAGGAGGAGGAGGAGGAGGAGGAGGAGGACGACGCGGACGCGTTTCAGTTATCCCATGGGCCGCGCAGAGCCCTGGTTGGCCCAATTGGGGCAATCTGGAAAAACTTGGCATGGGGGCCACAGTCAAAAGAGCCCGAGGGCGGGAAAACGGGGTAGGTAGAAGTGGGGATGAGGTTGGAGGTCAGGGTTTCCCTGGGCCTGGAATCTCCTGCGAGACCATCCCACTCTCTTTATTGGCCAGGTGGCACTTTGGCCCTCAGTTTCCCCATCAGTGTTTCAGGGCTGGTCTTGGTGGGAGAGGAAAACTGAGGCAAGAAGGTCAGAAGGACTGCTGGGTCCTGGTTGGCCAGGTTGGCTGGAGCCCTGCTGCATCCTCTCAGGCCTGGACCGAGGAGTGATGGATCACGAGTTGGCTTCTTGGAGTAATGGATTATGATGGATTACTTGGGAGAGCAGCTGTTCTGTCAGATGGGCTCAGCTCTCTGGAGGTGGAAATGCCCTGCCTTACCTGTTACACAGCCCGTCTCTGCATTGTCCCCCATCATTACTTACATCCTCCCTGCCCTCTCACCCCACCTTTGCCGTTCACACCTGATCTTTCGGAAGGAGTTCCTTGAATGGAAGCAGGAGGGAGGATGTCTCAAAAAGAAGTACTGGGCAGTTGAGGCCCAGGATCCAGTACATCTCATGCTCTGCTTCTTTATTTACTGAGTGACCTTGGGCAAGGCATCTAACCTCCCGGAGCCTCTGTTTTATTCTCAAGGGTATGGGGTAAGAAAAGGTTATTATGAGGATAAAATGGGATAATGCGTGTGAAGTGCGCAGTCCAGTGCCTGACATAAGGCAGGTGCTCAAGAGCAGAGTAGTTGATTATTATCAGTTGGTAGCTCCAAGAGCCAACTGTTGTTTTGGGGAAGGGTGCCCCTGGAGCAGGCAGGTCTGCAAGGGAATCCACTTCTTCCGGAGTGACCTTGCTCAAGCAGGGTACATGGCCTTGCTGGGGGCATCTCCCCATCTGTGTGTGAACTCCGGGGGTGGGGGTGGGGGAGGGGGAGTGCCCTTGTAGCAGAGGTGCCAACGGCCCGGCTCGCAATGGGCACAGGTGGACGGTCCTGCCCCTCCAGGTGCCTTCTGCTTTTCTGACTCTCCCAGCCTTGCCTTCTTCAGGTGGGGGCAGTGGGTTTCTGCTCCTCCCTCCGTCTCCCTCCTTGTTCTCTTCGTCCAGAGCAGAGCTTTTCCACCCTTAACTCCAGAACCTTTGTTTCCTCCCTCCTCCCGGTCTACTCCCTTTCTCTCCTGCTTTCTGCACCTGCTTCTCTTAATAACAATGGATGTTTGTACAGTGCTTCAGGCTTTAGAAAGCACTTCAGTGCATTGTCTGATTTTATTCTTTTAATTCCATCACCGCATAAAGCAGGCTGAAAGATCTCCTTGTTTTACAAATAAGCAAACTGAGGCATCCAGAGGTTGGATGACTTTGCCAAGGTCTCACAGTGTAACTCGTCACCCATCTTTGTCCCTGGACCTTTGTGCTTCCTTCTAAATATCCGATCTTGCTGACGTTCCTTAATCCTTACCTGCCCCTCCGTCTTTGCTTTCCATCTCTTAGGGCAGCGGATTCCTTCAACTAGGATAAGGGGATGAACATACTGGCAATGAAGGGTCTGAGTCTGGGTGAGCAGGGGCTGAAAGAGGTCCGGAGGTGTGACAGAAGAGGGTTCCCTATTGTACAGCAGCCTCCTGGGGGGTGACAGAGGGATGCCAAAGATGACTTCTGGGGGGGTGTAGCCTGCCTGGTAATTCTTGAAAATACTGGAAGCTCAGAATCCACCAGGCTGCGGCAGTCCTGCTCTGCCCAGCCAAGGACGACAACTGAGAGGGTAGAGGTGGCCCGGCCGGGCAGTGGCCAGGCAGACAGAAGGAGCTTTTTGGAGGATTTTCCTCTGTAGGAAATGGGACCCACCGGTGGTGTGAGCTCCACCCAGCTGGCAAGTCTTTCCCCTAAAACCACAGCTCTTACTACCGCCCTGCCTTTTCCTCTGCTGGGAAGGGCGATGTGAGCCCCAGAGCACACAGCAGAGCTCTGTCCTCTGGATTTTACAGCCAGATCAACTTGGAGGTCATTTCATCCACCCCCTTACCTCTAGACAGGATTCATTAAACAAATGTTTATTGAACTCTTTCCATGTGACGCTGTTTTTTTTTTTTTTTTGTAAGAAACACATTTATTTTTTTAAAACTTTTTTTTTTTTTCCAACGTTTATTTATTTTTGGGACAGAGAGAGACAGAGCATGAACGGGGGAGGGGCAGAGAGAGAGGGAGACACAGAATCGGAAACAGGCTCCAGGCTCTGAGCCATCAGCCCAGAGCCTGACGCGGGGCTCGAACTCACGGACCGCGAGATCGTGACCTGGCTGAAGTCGGAGGCTTAACCGACTGCGCCACCCAGGCGCCCCGAAACACATTTATTTTAAGACACTGTTTTTTTTTAAATGTTTATTTATTTATTTTGGGGGGGGAGAGAGAGAGACAGACCAACTATGAGTGGGGGAGGGGCAGAGAGATTGGGAGAGAGAGAGACAATCCCAAGCAGGCTTGACACACAGCATGGAGCCTGATGTGGGGCTCAATCTCGTGACTGTGAGATCATGACCTGAGCTGACATCAAGAGACAGACACTGGTTTTGAAGTGAATAAGATAGATAAGGTGTTTGCCCTTACGGGACTGACACTTTTCTGGGGGAGACAGGCAGTAAATAGGTAAACATGTTATGAAGGAAATGAGCTAAAGCAGTGGGTTAGAGAGTGATTATGTTAGTGTGGCCCCGGAAAATTCAGAGGAAGTATTGCATGAGGTGAGACCCAAATGATGATGTTACATGATGATCTGGAAGATTGAACGAGCAAGTGCAAAGGCCCTGAGGTGAGATGAGCTTATTATGCTTGAAAGGAGGCCATGTCTTGCTGGAGAATAGTAGCCCTGGAGTGTTCCGAGCACATGCCACATGATCTGATCTCTATTCTGAGAAGACTCCTCTGGCCTTGAACAGGCACAAGAGTAGGGTAGGGAGAGGGGTCAACAGGCTGCTGATTTTGGCCAGGTGAAGGGGGCTGGTGGTTTAGGCCGTGGTGCTTGCAGGAAAAGCAGTGAGAAGGGGCCAGATCTGGGATACATTCTGGGGTAGAGCCCAGAGCTTGGCTGATGGATGAGATGTTGGGTATGTGAGAGAGAATGGGCTCAAGGATGACTCCCAGGTTTTTGGCCAGAGTAACTGGCCACGTGGTTCCATTTACTGAGATAGATGGAGTGTGTAAGAAATTTCTAGGTAGGAAGGTGCCAGGATTTCTGCTTTGCCTGATTTCTTATTTCACAGTCCTTCTCGCACATGCTGGGGATTTCTTGTTGATGTGTGTCCTCTCCTGTCCTCTCAAATTCAGCCCATGCTGGCTACCCCTCTGGTGAGTGGATCATTCTGGACCCCTTAACATGCCACCTTCCAGACTGTTCCTGCAGCATGAACCCATGGCTCTGAGCTGAGAGGGGCTATATTATTTATATGAAGCAATATGATATAACAAACAACCCCCAAATCTAGTAGCTTAAAGCAGCAACAAACATTTATTACCTCATACAGCTTCCATGGGTCAGAAAGTTTGGAGTGGCTTGGCTGGCTGATTCTGGCCTGGAGTCTCTCATGGGGTGGCAGTCAAGATGTCAGCTAGGGCTGCAGTTATCTGAAAGTCCGACTGAGGCTAGAGGAGCTGCTTCCAAGGTGGTTCATTCATGTGGCTGGCAATTTGGGGCTGGCTGTCGGCAGGAGGCCTCAATTTCTCACCACATGGCACTCTCCCTAGGCTGCTTGAGTGTCCTTACAACATGGCGGCTGGCTTCCACAAAGTGGGTAATTCAAGGCAGAGCAAGGTGGAAGTCACAATGTCTTTTATATCCTAGCCTTGGAAGGCAAATACTGTTATTTGTACAATATCCTATTGGTTGCATAGGTCATCTTCATTGTTGGGGGGGGGCGATATAAAGACACGAATACTTGGAGGCAAGAATCAGTGGGGGCCACCTTGGAGGCTGACCATACAGATGCCCAGAGAGAAGGCACGGTGGATCTGGCTCCTGGGGGGCTGTGAGAGCATTGGGAAGGGCAGAGATGTAGGAGTCAGACATACCTGGGTTTCAACTCTACCCCTGCTGCCTTCCAGCTATGTGGGCTCTGTCGTAGAGGAATAAATGGATACCAGCACCTAGTAGACAGCTTTCTCCTTTCTTGAACCACAGGCGGAGAAGGGTTATCTATTCCAGATATTCTTTGCCAGCTCTTTATCACTTGGACCTGCTTGAGAGAAAATGCTTAGTGCTGGTAGAGGAGGGGCCTCAAAGTATATGTTAAATACCTGTTTACTGCACAAAGGAGGGCTGAGAGTTAGGTTGCACCCTCAAGTTTCTAGAATAGTGCCTGACCCCACTATTCTAGAGGTAGGGGTTCCAATGAAGGAGTAAAGGAATAGAATCAAGGAATGTTGAGGGACAAGAAGTTCCCATTTAGAGAGAGGCTGTGGAGGGGGGTGGTGAGGGGAGGGTGTGAGAGCAGGAAAGAAG